TTTTTTTTTTTGTTTTTTTTTTTTGAGATATGGGAGAGGCATTACCTGCTCGGGGCCCATTTTGTGGGAGATTGAGATCTCCTTTCAGTACTTGGGTTCTTTCCTGATTTTTTGATTTGAAATTGTAGTGATTTTAGTGGTGGTGGAAAACAAGTGGCCGTTCCGGTTAGTTTGGGCGATTTTGGTAAAGTGTGTTTGCTGTGATGGACATTTTTGCATTCATTGTGTAATTTGGAGCAAGTCGGAATTTGTGGTTTACTATCTTAATGTAGTTCACTGTCTTATTGAATTGTCAGTGTAGTTGCGTTCAATAATTTTGCTGCCTGGGGTGAAGTTGAATGGTGTTACTTTTGTGTTACTTAACAATATTGTCAGCAGATTCTGCTTGGTCAGTAAATTACTTAATATTTAGTATTGTCCCGAAGTTCTTTCAGACCCTAATGTTGCTGCTGCACGTATAAACGTTAAATATTTCGATCGCTTCACTAAATGCATTGGATTATGTGTACGTTCTATTACCTCGTGGCGGTCTAAGGTTTCCGTACCGAATATAAATATTACTTTCACGATCAGATAAAACTGTCGGGCAATAACAAAGTTTACTAGTGATGCAGAACGTCCAGAAAAACCGTGTCGAGGAAAAAAGTTTAAAGTAACTCAATAAATTAACGTAAACATTCCATGGTCCTTAGTACTTGAAAGTACGCCGCAAATGCTAAAATTGAAATTTAATTACATTTCATATTCCATATGAGACTTTTGTGGTTACAAGAGACAGCGCATATCGGACGTGTTATCTATTTTATTATGTTGCAATTACAAAATGTGACTGGAGTGACCAAAAACAAATAAAAACCTGTAGTATTGATTCAACATAAATTTAAAAAAGTTAGAGACCTTATTACGAGGAATCTACTCCTCGAAAAAAAATGAAAACTAAATTCATGGAATACGTAGACGTGGTGGTGGACTGTTGAAATTTTAAAACTTGGTCATGTTGATCGCTATCGCAAACTTATTCTAACGTAATTTTCAGTTCGAAATATTAGAGAGGAAGTTTTATTTGGTAAAATATATGCAATTTCAATCCACATAGTTTAGTAGGAAGTTTTATTTATAGGGATCTCCATTGTCCGAACCTGTTGAAGCTTGTCTGCTTGGTTAACAAGATAATATACAGTTTCCTTTTATGTACACCCTGTTCGGAATCTGATATAATTCTTTGCTTAATTTTCTTTTTTATTGCAGCGTGCTCAAGTGTTGGTGCACTAACAATTCTTAGTTTTTCTTATAGTTCATTCATGGAGTTTGCACCAAAGAATAACTTAAATATATCAATGCAGCAGTAAACGAGCATCTAGCGGAACATTTATTTTTAAACCCTTGCGGTGAATTCAAGTGAAATAACTTCTAACAAATGTTTTCAGTGCCTCCGCTCGGCAGTGAGAAGAAAAGGTCCAGTATATTTTCGTAAAATGTTTATTAACTCTGTTTTTATATAAGGTTGATGGTTTATCGAAACATTATTGAAGGAAATGGTATGTATCTACCAAAATGAAAGGAATACTTAACACGGCATACAAAAACGTCATTCTATATTATCCCAAAATAGCAGAATATGAAGGCAGCGTAGAGCAAGAAGCAAGAAGAAAAAAAATGTTTAAAATAAATCTGGAGCGAAGCGTTGTAGAGGTAAGAGTATAATGTATTTTGGAAGCTCTGTTAGTGTAATAGTTAAGAAATGGTTTTGGCGTTTGTTCTTCCCTCTCCTTCTGAAGTAACCTCGAGGAGCTTATTGACGTCTGTAGGGTGCGAACTGTCTCAAGAATCCCGCTCAGGCTATAGGCCCTCTTTTTTTTCAATGACAGAAAGTACTAGTACTGAAACAATGTATGAAACAAGTATGAAACAATGTTATTTCCCCCGTTATGAATATACAGAATTTTCTAACTTCTCTACAGCAACATCCCACACAACTATTTTCCACGTGCCCTTGCTTGAAATTTTAAGATATAACAAACTTTCAAAGTCATTTTCAAACCTTTCATATTTTTGGGGTTTAGGCGGTTTCTACACTTGAATTCATTTTTAAATATTGTCTTACTCTCAATACAAATTTATGAAGTGTTTAGTATTACCGGTAAATTAAATTTTTGCGCGCTTTCTTAGTTTGGAACTTGTATATCCTTCCAGAACGTATGCAACCTGTTTTTTTAGTCCCTAGTTTTCCAAAAGCAGCAGAGGAAATTTTTTTCCGAGAGCCTGTAAATTATATTTTTGGAAGGGTACAATTTTTTTCCCTAGGTTTACGGTTTTAGTATACAACAGCTCGTTATAATTTACCAGTTTTTTATACACTTCTGAATTTGGGAAAATATAACCTGAAACATTTTGTCCCTAGAGCCTGAAATTTGCCTTTAATTTTGGGTTGTTTCAATTTTTTCAAAAGCTTTAGTTTTAATGTACAGTTGACCATCAGAATGTATGTTGCTTTCGTTGTACATCCATCAGTTTTGCAAAAAAGACTGGAACACTTTTCTTAGGGACTAATGTACCATTTAGTTTTGGGAGTTTCATATCTTTTAGAAGAGATTTTTTGTTTTCGTGGAGGCGAGAAAGGAGAATAGGAGCTACTAAGCAAAATGCTAAATAATGCCGTAGAAAATATTTTTGATAAGCTTGTTAATCTAGGGTCTTCTGTTCCATAAAATCTCAAACAGAAAGCAGATAGACTTGATTGGCTCTGATTGCCAGATTACCTGAGTAATGGGAGCACCCTCCCAGGTAAATGGGAGGTGCAGCAAACTTAATGCATATTAACGATATAACTTAGCAGTCTTTTAATGAAATTGCAACTGAATACAATTATTTCCACTCTTTTGGTCTACAAACTGATCATTTAAGTTTTGTACATCATGAAGTGTTTCCTATCACAACTTTTTTAAATAAAGGAAATCACAATATGTACTGTCCAGATTTGATAATTTTTACCCTTCACAAGATGTGAGTGACATTTTGATCTTACTTCAGGGAAGCATAGAAAATAAAGGATTTTATACAGGAATCGTCATTTTCATTATTAATGCAAATCGATGGTCTCTCAGGAGAAGATTGTGACCTCTCAGTTTAGGTAGTCTACTCCTTGTTATTAAGATTTCTTTTCCTTTTTTGCAGAAGAAAATTCAGATCTACGGTTTGGAGGCTCACTCGTATGAACTGCAAAGACATTCTTTTTAAAGATTGCAACATTTAAAGGCCATATTCTTCTTGCTTTGAAACAGCTTTTACATTTTCTACGGAAGTGATATTAGAAAATACGTAAAAAAATCTCGGCTATCGCGTGTGAGGTTATTCTTCTCAGCGGATTAATGTTTGACAAATCACATTCTTTGTAGGCCACTTTAAAAGGTTGCACATTCATACGCAAGTGAACAGTAATGCTTACTACTAAGGCCGTAAAACATGTTTCTAAATGTTAGTAGGTGGTCCGCGAGCTGCTTTTCTTGAGCTTTAGATAACGTGGTTGGCCTACCTAGGCGTGAACGTTTGAGCACCATTTCAATCTTCACTTATAGCCCTGTACCACTTCATCAAAATAAAGTCAGATGAATCGTGCAATATAAGTGAAAAGATGAATCGTGCAATAAATAAAATGTATAAAGATCCGTGTATAAGATAATGGCACTCACGATAGCAGCAGCTAACATACTAGTGCTGATAAGTCATGTTATGCAAACGGAGTAAGACTCCCTTACCGCTCATACTGTGGCCGAATGGAGCGCTCTAGGAAACCTTGAATGCAATTCACAGGTATTTGGCGTGCGAAAGTCAAATTATTCGCGATAGGCTCCTATTACCCGTTGGCTCTCATTGCCCTATATTAGCTCCCCTTCACCCCTATATTAGCTCATAAAAACGTACGTTAATAATTTCGATTTGTACGGCACTGATTTTTTGTAAATACAGGCGAGAACCATTTGTTTCCTAAAGCATGAAATTATCCTAAAGTATTGGGTAGAGTTTTAAATTTTTTCTGAATCTTTTGGATTTTCGTATGAATTTCCACCGAATAACGTCCTTTTATTTGCACAGCCCTGAAATTTGAAATATAAATGCCGAATTTTTTTCTACAGTGTAATCTGTTTTTAAGTTTTTGTATGAATTTTCGTCGAATTTCAATTGTGTAGAGATAATTTGCACGTAGGTGCTGCTTGCCTTAGACTAAAGTAAGCAGCACCCACGAGTTGAGTAATTAGCAAGAACCTAAAATTGAGAATAGAGCATTGTAGTAATCTACAATTATCCTTTCATTTTTTGTTCGCTTCAGATTGGTTTTTGAACGCTTCTGGCTTTAGTTCGCTTGAAAAACCTAATCAGACAGGACTATAGACACCACTCTCAAGTGACGGGGAGTGAGCGTAGTCATCGCTTCGGGAATGTAGCAATTAAATTGTATGCCGCTATCTCTAAAAGTGTTCTTATTGAGCGTAATATACGCCTTACAAAGTTTCCACATTCGTGTAGGTTTTCATTGTCCTCGAATTTCTACCGGCAACTTAAATGTAAATGTAGTTACTTTCTTGGAAGCCTATTTAAAATGGGGCCCACAGACTTTCAAAGCACTTGGATCATGCATTTATTTTGGAGGGCAAACATCAATACGTGTAACGTTCAAACGATCTAATAAAGGTTCAACTTCTGTATCAAATACTTTTATTTTAAAACTTTCGCATGTGGAAACAGTTTCTGTACCTAGCGTAAGATGGTTCTCCCGAAGGACGTCATTGGGGAAGGAACTCGTTGGGTTTGAATCAGAAACTGGATGTACTCAGTTCCCAGTCTCTCTTCACGAACTACGCCATAATCCCGGAGACGTGTGGGTTTCTGAAACGTGTCACTGTTAAACGCCGCCCACTATACAAAGGACGTGGTTATTTGTATGTATGGTTTTAAACTTTCTGTAAAATTATACGTTCAATGTTTCCTTGTTGGTGACAAACAAGTATTGCAAAAAGTATTTACAGCACCTACACATCTTAAATTAATTTTAAAAAGTAGGAGAGTATATAGCTTGGGCAGATTCAAAGAAAGTAAAAGGTATTGCTAAAAAATACGAGCTTCTTTGAACAGTGCAATGAAGGCCATAGCAGTTTAAAGATGCTTCCTAATAGTTCATGAATGCAAGTCTACATGGTTCCTTCCGGCCACATTATACTGCGGATGCACGGATCAAAATCAAAGGCAAAAGTGATTGCAACTGAATTAGTCTCACGGCGACGGAAAAACTCGGGACCGAGCGAAAATTGAGGGGAAAACCGGGGTTTGTAGATCGGACTCCGCAAAAATAGACGTATTTTCTAATTTTTTTTCTTTAGAAACAATTTATCCCAATGTGAAGATTAGAAATTGCTAAATTCTTATTTCTTATGGAACCCCGCATCATGTAAATAAAGGTTTATAAATTTTAATAGCTTATAGTAAATTTTTCATACCAAATATAGCATAATGTAAAGTTTGTGTAGTTGCGTGCTTTGAAAATAATTTGATCATTAATGCTAAATTTGGTTCAGACATTGGTCTGACTAGAAATCGATGGATCACACTGCGATATTTCGATGAATGTATGTTATGAACTTATGCGTATTGTAAAATTAATTACAAACATGTGTGGCGTCGTTAACACGAGGACCAGAACCGTTAGGTCGGTGAAAGTGCGCTGCGGGGGTGGAAGGGGTTGAGCCTGAACTTCCGGGAGTTTGCGCTCTGGCGGTTGACTCAGGTAGAGCCGCAGAGCCAAAAATAACCGTAGGCTGTAAACTCAGAGGATGCGAGCCTCGCTTACGGTTAAGCAGGCGAGCCAACCTGAGAATCCTGTGTGGGCGTACACAAAGCTGCTGGCCAGCGAGCCTATCTATGGAACAGTGGTGGGGGGGTGTCAGCCTCAACTATTTAACGCGGCGCAATCTGCGCCCGCGCTCTCATTCAGTTAGCATCGGGGAGCTTGTACGTGTATGTTCGACGAGTGTAGGAGTGTGGGCGAGATGTCCGGAGAGTAAGGGCCAGACGATCTCGCGTGCTGTAGGCACACGGTCGCCACGACCGGGTTAAATTTTGGCGTCAGGCCATGTGACGGTAATTGTCACGGGACGGAGGTCCGACAGCTCGCATCACGCGTGGCTTGTATTTTTCTGCGGTAAAGCAGGGTATTGAAAGGAAAAGGTTGCCGGAGTGTTTTAATATTAGCAATTTATTGTAACTTGTACATAATCTTTTAATATATTGTTTTTATTTTATTTGAATTTATTTCTTATTTCACTACGTCACACATGCTAGTTTCTATCTCTGTGGATATTTTCAGATCAATATATTAAAATTGCATTGTCCTGACTGCACAACGGAAACGTTCAGCCAACGCAGCGAAAAGAGAAATCCCGTCGCACAATTGCCTGACTGCGTTCTGCAGACACAACTTGCAGCCACAAGTGGTACAAATACTGGTAGGTTTATACAGCTTATCAAATTTCTTAACCTATTGTAGGACGTGGTCACTAATGTTACATCTTACATCGAGGGTAATACTTCCAAATAAAACAACTTATTTCTTGTAAACTAAAATAGACTATATTTCTTCACTTGGCTTAGAAGAAGAAATTTTGTAAAAACTGTTTCGCAGAAATAAACTAATTCAGATTAGGGGAATACTTTCATAAATGTAGATTCTTGTCCTTCGATTAATACGCTTTTTCTTGTCTGGATGCAAAATGAAGGAAAAAGTACGCCAATATCTCTAAAAATTATTTTGTGATGTGAACATACGGGAAACTTTCTAATTTTTTAGACAATGCTCAGAAAAATACCATAATCTTGCTAAAAGTTGACTTCGTTATCCCTAATTTAATACGTATTCACCTATACAACTTAAAATTGCTCTATAGACCATAAACTGTGTTTTGCTTTGGAACCATTAATTTTGCTAAATTAGCATAAGACTGCATTAATATTAAAGAACCGTTCTTAGATTATGTATTAAAAACAATTATAGAAAAAAAACGACAAATGTGCATTAGTATTGAATGAACCGCTCGTTTCTGCATTCTCTAATATGATGCACAATAACGCACGGAAGGTTTACATTAACTATTCCTTTTTCTTCGTATTTCAAACTTAAATCATTTGAAATAAACACCATTTCAGCACTTTTCAGACAAACCCAGACAGTTGATATATGAAAGGCAGTACTGCGCTCACCCCTAGACATCTGAAGGATTAATGCAAACTCCTAAGGCATTCGTAACAATGATTTTTTTTTTTTTTCACAAATACTTGATAGGCAGTTTTAGTAGAAAAAATGCCTCCCGGGAGGATGTACCATGTCGCACATTCTACGTTAGCAGCAATGTGTCGCCACAGTTCATTTTGCAAGAACTTTTTACATTACACGCTATGGGTCACAGATCTGCGAAACTTAAATGGTGTACATACGGGACGAAAAGAATGAGCCTAGGTTGAGCTGTATAGAAAAGTTTCCCCAGCCGTATTCAATTCTATTTTAGCTGCCAGGAAGACTCGAGTTCGTTAAATTTATTACGAGGGTCGCTTCTACCGTCCACTGTTCCGTGGCTCCCACCACATGAGTGACGCTTCCATTGCACTGATTACTAGTTGGAAGTTGGAAGATTACTAGTGCTAGAAAAGGACGGGCAACGTGAGTGAAATAAACTTTCATAGGCGCGGGTGATAGATGATCATAGCCCATTAATTGTATTTATCAATTGTATTATTGAAGTTAAAATTTAATTTTCCTTGCGTGCTTTATTTACAAATAAGTCGTATGTAATTTTTTTTTTATGTAAATGGCGAGGGGGGGAGGGCGGAGCAGAATTGAAGTCGTGCGTTGGTCTTCATTATGTTGCCCACTCCCACAGAGAAGCTCGTAGATGTTCTGAAGCCGCCTACATTAAATATGAAAGGACCTATTTAGTGTAAGTGTAGGAATGGCTGCCATTACTTTTCGCCCTGACGTCATAGAACAGCTATCTAAGCGTTCACAATCGTACCGGGGTCGTAGTTACAGAAGTCTATAAAATTCTCTCATAAACGATAATGGCATACATTTAAAACAAATTATAAATATTAATCTTATGGGATAAACTTTAATAATCTTACTTCTATGGGTGAAATGTTAGAATTATTTTCAGAGGCAATCCAGTGACAACAGAAGAATCTGGAAATGAAAGAAGACCGGGAAGAGAGAAAATGTTACCTTTTGCTGGGAAGTGTTCTGCGTACACCACTTGGCAACTATGTGCGCTACAAGTAGTGGTAAGTTCACGCCCTTGTTCAATCATCAATCATTAGGTATGAGATGGAAAGCTTCAACTGAACATCATTTGTCTTGTTCTTAGTGGTCATCGTCTGCGCTGGCCTCAGGGTCTCGGGACATTGCAGTCTGCTAGGAAGTCTGATATCGTCAAACCTAAAACAGTTTCTTCTACCGAATCCTGTTATTGAAGCTCAATTAGATGTTAAGAATAATCAAAAAACAAAAAGTATTTTAAGCCTACACCACTAGATTAGCAGAATAAGAAATAGAAACTAAGTTGTCTGGCCCAAATGAATTAAAATGTGTGCACACACAAATTAATGGTTTTGCGAGTGGTTATAAAATTGACGAAGCTCGCAAACTTTGAGTCGACCGACGAGAAAATAAATGAATGAGAGCAAAAAAGGACGGTAAAAGTACCGTAAACAGATTCAAAATTTTGGAAGTTCAGAATTTTGGCAGCGAAATTCCTAGTGTTAAAATTCAGCTTCGGTATTATTGAATTCAAAATGGTTCCACTGCAGGCAAATGATACCAAACTGTTTCCAAATGTCAGGGAGTATTCTTGACACAGGTAGTATACACAAGAACAGAAGTTGAATTAACAAATACACTGAGAAAAACATTTAATTATAGATGCTAAACAAATTTACTTAAAACCTAAAAATGAAGAAAAACGCAGATCAATTCGCTCGGTACACATGAAATGGCTTTATACAAAAGGTTCTAACTAATAGTGATAAATACGTTACAATGTACTAAAACTAGTACGATTTTGACCTGAGTAAAGCAGCCTTATTTGTGCGCACGGTCATTTGTTTTGGATTGAACATTCGTAGCAACATAGTGGTTAAATGAACACAAGTGTAAATGTGAATTCAATTTATAACAATGTGAAAAAAAAGGAAACTCGTATGTAATAAAGGTCTCATACATAAGTTATCGTTAATACAATGTAGAATACAGCGTCGGCAAGGAATTTAAATTGGTTAATAGACATAATGAATTGAAAAAATTTATTACTGTGAAGACACGCTAATGCTCAAATTATGATCGTAGATTGGTTGGTAAGATACGAAATAAAGGTTGATTGGTTGGTAACAAACGCAGAGGCGAAATAAAGGTTGATTGGTTGGTAACAAACGCAGAGGCGAAATAAAGGTTGGTTGGTTGGTTGGTTGGTAACAAACGCAGAGGCGAAATAAAGGTAATCGTGCAGTCGTGTTAGCAGTACTTAAAAAAATGGAAGTGAAAAAGTGATTAATAATCGAATAATTATTTTGTATTGTGTATTGAATCAGTTAATTACGAATTTAATTCCTTTTGGAAATTTTATTATTTTCGTTATTTATCGCCAGAAGTTTGAGAGTACTAATTAAATTTAAATTTCAGTTCATTTTTTCGCAAATTTTGAAACACATTTTGTATTGTGGATGTAGTGTCAAATCTTGTACGTAATTTTGATTATGTAATGTTATATTTTGCAACTTAGGTTGATTACTTGGTTGTTGCATTCTACTGTATTTTGAAATGATTTTGTTAAACTTAAGTATTAAGCCCATGTGAATTGTAAACAACTCACAACACATGTGCCCATGTAAACAATTGTTCATAAATGTAGCATGTAATCCACTCTGGGTGTAGACCCCATCTCGATCGTGGTTTTTGTCCAGTTTCCCAGCGATCCACAGAGCGAATGCTGAGATGTCCCTAGCTTGCGTCTGGACAAGTAACGTAGTTTATTTCCTTCTGAGAACTTAATAAAAAATTTAAATGTTATTTTGTCTTGCGAAACGAGAGAAAAATCTTTCTGCGGGCCAGTAGCAAAGACAACCCTTTTCCTATCTCCTTTACCTAGTTTTTAATTTAGGACTGGCCGTCGCGCTGCACGGGAATTGCAATAGCATCACCTGTCGCATTTTGAAGAGTGTACAGCAGTCTGCTTCCCAGGAAAAGCTACAATATTTTATTGAAAATATAACGAAACCACCAGAAAAATAATTCGACAAATCCTCTCGTTCATTTCCTGGCAACTGGTATTGCGAAAAGTCCTCGGTTTGGACGACGGAAAGGAAGTTTGTAAAGTACGTGGACCAACGGTGGCAGCAAACACTCCCCTCTACGAGCCACGACGTCCTGGACTGACCGCATAGGAACTCCCAAATTGAACATCCGAGAAATCCCGTTAGCATAGCACGGAAGAGAGGGAATTCAAATTTTGCTATCACTTGCGGGGAACATTGATGCACACTTTTTATGGTTCAGATTAGTCTACATAAAGCTTCATTCAAAATATTTTCCAAACTATGTTCTTTAAGAATTATATCATATAAATTCTTAGGTTAAAATAATTGCTCATCAGATCCCCCCCCTCACAAAACTTAATTTTTCCAAAATATATTCAGTTTTCCGTATTTTTCACAAGAGTTGGCATTAGGCCTTATACAAATTAGTGAAATTTATTTATGAGAGCTCTTGATCCTGCTATCAATATTACGAGAGATTTGCCTTTAATCACATGCGCAATTTCTAATATCGGATATTACAAATCTGCGCATTGCATAAGCAAACATTGGCAGTTTCATGTGTCAATTTTGTACTTAAGTTTACACTGAAGAGGGATTTAAAAATGTATTTTATTACAGAACGTTTCAAGGACGGATTTCTACAATGTATGTCTTAACAGGAGCACTTATCTGTCAAATGAGCCAAATTTAATCCTGGTTATAAAACTTACTCGTTCAATATAAACTTCGCCGATTTGCTACTAACACTAATAAAAATGGAGAACATGAAATAAGCTGCGGAATGTAATTAAATATAGTATTTAAAAAAAACTTAAAATTTAAGCTTCTAAGTCAGGAAATAAAAATGTCCACATGAACTTAAATACAAGAATGTGCGAAGACCTAAACTATATTGATAAATACTAGTGACTCCCCCACATACACCCCAATGTGTATGAAATTGATCTTCTAGGTTCTTGCAACTTTCCTTAGTGCTCTTCGTTCGCATCCTAGAACTGTTGTAAAAACTGAAACACAACAGGGTGACCTGCGGACCGGAAATACTCGAAAACCGGAAAATAACAGGAATTTGATTTGAAAGCCGGGATTTCCTGTTATTTTCAGATTTATCTCCAACCTTTAGAGAAAATGGACTTATGGCAACGTATTCAGTAACGTGTTTGAGTCAACTCTGTACATAATGGAAAGTGAAAATCGAAATACGTATGAGAAGTGCCAAATGTATGCTTCAGGGTAGCGTAATCGTCGACTCGCGCAACACACAACTCCAAACACTGCCGTGCGATGTAGGTGCAACAGGTCCAGTTGCAATCGCCGACCACAAGATGAAAATGTCGTTAGCGCAAAAGCTATTAAGTACTCCTTCGTGAGCGTTAGAGGATTATTGCTATTTGAAGGGTATTACTGATGCAGTTTTATTTCTTCTAAAATCTTCAGGGACATCCTCGTCGACATTCTGCATCTGGTTACGAACTGAACATCAGAAGGCATAAAAATATTTTTTGGATTGCTTATTCTGGACTCATGTTTTTTTTAAAAAAAAATACACAAAACGTAAGTATCAACATTTTCTCCCGCGGCCATTCGAAGCACAAATAACGGTCAATTTCAACAACCTTCGTCAAATCAATCTTAACGATAATTTTTGAACAAGTGAGAGAACGAGTGAAAGGGAGAGAGAGAGAACGAGTGAAAGGGAGAGAGAGAGAACGAGTGAAAGGGAGAGAGAGAGAGAACGAGTGAAAGGGAGAGAGAGAGAGAACGAGTGAAAAGGAGAAGAGAGAGGAGAACGAGTGAAAGGGAGAAGAGAGAAGAGAACGAGTGAAAGGGAAGAGAGAGAGAGAACGAGTGAACGGGAGAGAAGAGAGAGAGAAGAGTGAAAGGGAGAGAGAGACGAGGAGAACGCGTGAAAGGGAGAGAGAGAGAGAGGAACGAGTGCAAGGGGAGAGAGAGAGAGAGACGAACGAGTGAAAAGGGAGAGAGAGAGAGAGGAGAACGAGTGAAAAGGGAGAGAGTAGAGAGAGAGAACGAGTGAAAGGGGAGAGAGAGAGTAACGAGCTGAAAAGCGGAGAGAGAAGAGGAGAACGAAGTGAAAGGGAGAGAGAGAGAGAGAGAGAGGAGAACGAGCGAGAGCGGAGAGAGGAGAGAGAAGAGAACGAGGGAGACGGGAGAGAGAGAGAGAGAGAAGAGAGAACGAAGGGAGAGGGAAAGGGAGAGAGACGGAGAGGAACGAGGAGAGGGAGAGAGAGAGAGACGAGCGAGAGGAGAGAGAAGAGAGAACGAGGCCGGAGAGGGAGAGAGAGAGAGAACGAGGAGAGGGAGACGAGAGAGAGAGAACGAGGCGAGAGGGAGAGAGAGAGAGAGAGCGAGCGACGAGGAGAGAGAGAGAGAGAGAGAGAGGAGGAACGAGCGAAGAGGGGGAGAGAGGGAGAGAGAGAGAGAGAGAAGAGCGAGAGGGAGAGAGAGAGAGAGAGAGAACGAGCGAGAGGGAGAGAGAGAGAGAACGAGTGAGAGTGAGAGAGAGAGTCGGTGCGCCCGCTTTGACCCATGGTTGCTGGAAAAACAACAATTCATGATGTGAAAATGTCTTCTCTGCGGGTAAAATAGTAGATTTGCTAAGAAGTAATTTTTTGTCACACTAAGTACCAGAAAGAGAAAGGAGAAAAGAGCTTTAGAGACCTCAAGAATGCTTCAGATGAAGAAAAATGCTGAAGGAAGTGTTTTGCTGAGGCCTGTAACTAGACAAATTTATGAAGATGATGATTCTGTTCAGAGCAGTATGTAAATAATATTTCTGAAGACTTGTACTGTATTAAACTTGGTGGGATCTGTACATTTGTATATAAAATTGCTTAAAACTAATGAATGTTTTCTGTAAATAAATTATTTTATTTCATTAGCTAACGTTCCTAATTTCAGTTTCTGTTATGGTTATTTCAAGTGTTATAAGTCATAGTTTAGGCTAATTTCATACAACTGTATACATTTTTGTACTATATAACATATTCATGGTCAGATTTTAAATTTCATGTCTCATTTAGATATGTTCAGAGTTACTAGACAATTTCCTATTAAGTGTTAAATGCTCGCAGATCTATTTTTAGAAATGAGGACAGGGACAATGTAGTTTATTACCACTTAATGTGTAAGGAAAAACTGGAAATAATGTATTTTATACACTCTTGTAAAATTATTGAAAGTAATTTTTCATACTTTTGATTATGCTCCTTTCTTTGTCACATTTCAATTTGTTCATTCTTCTGAGCATTCTCATTAATAATTTGCCAGTATGCATCATAGTATCATTGAGCATTATCTTTTAGAAAGACACTCTTGATAAGAATTACAAGGATTCTTTCAGAATAATCATTGTAAAGAGTGTCAATGAACATTCCCATCAACTTCCTGTTCATATTACTCTACATTTCAACCTAATTCATTACAGTAACTTTTTGTCACATTGAAGCTTAATAATAACTTAAATAACTATCCCGTAACCTTAGTACTCATACTGACGTAACGTACTCACGTAACCTTAACATTCAACTGCTCAAAAAAGAAAAAGGCTTCGCTGCCTAGACATAACCAATTGAACAAAAACTTGGTAGATGTATGAAAAACAATATGGTGCTTCCATTAAAACCTTTAGATATTAAAAGCATGGAGCCATTGAAATTTTTAGGGATAGAAGGTCTTTAGCACTATAGAACTCTCTCACAGTGAACACTTCAATTATACTGTGTTACAACCATTCATGAATGTTACCAATATTTCTTATTTTCTAAATAATGGCTCTCAGCTAATAGAGCCAATCACCATGAGCATATTTCATTCATTAAACATTATTTTGCTCATAGAAGCTGTATGTACCGTCTGTATTGTAAGAGGTGAATCAACTCCTCCAATCAAGGGGCTAATATAATTACTGCCGGAAGTGGAATGTAATTATAGTACAGTAATTATAGTAAGTTGAAGTAACAGTAATTACTTCAACTTCTTTTCCTTCTCCCTCTCCCTCTCTCTCGCTCTCTCTCCCCCTCTCCCTCTCCTGCTTCCTCTCCCTCTACCTCTGCCACACACTCACTCTCATGCTAATTCTCACGCTCGCTTTCACTCTCACTCTCATCTCACTCCCATTTTTATTCTCATTCAGGGTTCAGTTTATCTTGAAGCTAAGGTAAGTTAAGTATCTGATTTTCTGG